ACTCGAAATGATAACGCGGTAAAATGTATCGGTGGAATTAAATGGAATATATATACTTGACTGCTCGCGTTTTCATTTACAGAATAGAAAACCTGGTAGCAATACTCTCAATATTGATCAGTATTGTAAATGTTATAAAATACATTGCCTGTTAAATTGGTTTGTTCTTATAGAGATTTTGTCTATTAAAATTAGAATGGCAATATATGACTGCTTCGCAAAATTTAGATCAGTTTTTAACCCATGTATGAATACAATGATTTAAGCATCCGGCACTAGATGGCGACGTACCTCTATCTGTAAATCTGCAATTGACAGAGTGAAAATAGTTGCATAAGACAGACAGCATTCACAAGTTTGATCAATTTCTGGTTATGAATTCGATTTAATCGACGTTCAACATTTTGAATGTAGAAAATTAAAGATAACTATCGAACATGAGATACGAATTTCATTTATTCAAAAAATTATGATTTAATCATGAAATAAAAGTAGAGCATAAGGTGATTATGAATTCGATAAATTTTCCTCATCTTTCAAATCGTCGTTTATTTACGATACTCTGCCGCGGAGTTTTATTACCTCCCGATCAATTGACGACACGGGCAAAAAAAAATGTACCAATGGAACATCGCTTACACATACATGGCCAAAACTTGAGAATTATCGATGTTATAATACATACACCCCCGCAATAAGCAATTAAACGCAATGAGTTTCGCAAGAACATTACTAGAGAGAAAGATAGATAGATAGAGCTGGTGCTTACATACAACAGCAGCAGCAGCAGCAGCAGTAAGTGCACAAACAATCGCACCGCACGCAAAATCGACCACACACATATCACGCTCATCCGCGTTATAAATCGGGTATTTATTACTCAAATACAAATGTTTGTCATTTGCATACTTTTGACTGCGGCTCGTATATAATATCGTTTGGACGCGATGGCGGCGGTGGTCGGTGGTGGTGGCAAGCGAAAGTTAGCCACATCAATTTCGCTCTGTCTCTCTTGGCTTGGCTTGGCTGAGTGCACGCGCGGAGCGCGGATACATCTAAGGGAAGATTCCGCTGTATACACACAGCCGAGCAAACGATAGCCATTTCTCGACGAAACACGTATTTATTATTCTAGTATTGCGCTCGTGTAGCAACAATTTTCAGCGGAAAAAATAAAAATAATAATCACGAAACATTCGCTCGTTTTTAAGACATTTACCGATGGCGCTCATCCCTCATAATTATACGCTGGCAATCTCTTCTCTCTCTCTCTGCTCTTGACTCGAAATTGGGGCTTCTAGCTCGTTGGCGTGGCAGTGATACTTCACACTTCTCACGCATGAAATTTGTTGTGCAGCAACGAGAGAACTTCACACACAGACATATACCTGTACACGAGCTATCTCTTGCTCCGTGACGTTGATGATGCTACCACCCGCCACCACGGGATGCTACGTTGGAGAAAGACAAATTGTAGTTTTTTTTTTTTCGCAGTTGCCTCTCCTTTTTTTTCCAGCAGCAGCGTACACAGCTCTCGAGGTACGTAACTATGTACCCTACACGTCGTTGTTACATAAGCTGTTATTAAAGCCCTAAGTGGCTGGGTGGTTAGTCGGTTGCACATAATGCATTTTCAAGATACGTTTTCAGCTTTCATAATGACGGGCTATTTATGTTCCCGCGCGCGCGGTTATAGTAGTAGATACGCGAGAGCTCCGAGCGCACATTTTCGAGGCACGTATACGTACTCGACCGCGCGCGCGCTGCCGACGAAACTCAGACGTAAACTATTTTAATCACCGAATTTTCTCCGACTTTATTATTGTTGCATCTGCGTTGCTAACAACTTTTGTTTGTTTTTTTTTCTTTTTTTTTTTTAATTTTACTTTTAGCCGTCGAGTGTGCGAGATATGGTCCAAAGGTCGGATGACGTAATATACCAACAACAAAAAAATTAATACTACTTTACAAACTACTTTTGGCTTTTTGGAGGGTATAATAGTAACGATTATGAACTTTGAAATTTTATTCTTCTGAAAATAACGTGATATCACAGAAGAAAAAAATTATAAAAGCGCGTTAATAATCATGGAGTACGCTAAAAAAAAGATAAAATAAAACTAAATTCTAAAATAGCTCGAGTGCCGTATTAAGTGAGCTTAAAATATTGTCAATTGATTCCAAAGAATAAAATACGATACTTGCATCCATCGGTTTTGTTCACATGCAAGCGCGCGACGCGTCAAACTATCGCGCCAGTTGAAATTGTCCCAAAAGCAGCAGCAGCAGCAGCTTTTTGGTAACCGGATCACGTTTAGGCAACAGTCCGGATATATGAAACGCGCCGAGGTATAACTGAATATAATAGAAAAAAATAAAATACGTCTTGCCATTATGACCATACTTGCTGTGTGTGTGTGTGTTGCTTCTAGCTCGTTCCGTGATTTCTAAAATTCTTCACTCTGACGGTCCTCGTTAAAACGTGCAATCTTATCTATGTATCGGTATTTATACACGAAATGAAATTTTTTGCCACTTGCGAATTTACGATACTCCATCTGTTGATGGAATCAAAAAGCTCGTAATCAAGTACAACACCGTTGATTACAATGTATCTGCTATTAATTATTATTGTGGCTAACTATTCCTAACATTTTCCTACTAAATACTAACTCAATTTTAAAAATTAATGAATAGCTGTTATAAAAAATAAAAAAAAAAAAAAATGAACTTGGATTTCTGTAATTGAAACTTAAACAACAAAAAAATCGTAGATTGGCAATTCACGACGGTATATCTGTATTTTTATTTTTCCGAATATTTCGCTTAGATATCTACGCGTACAATTGCACATATATGCAGGTACACACATAATTCTACAACAGCTTCGAAATTTCAAGAGCACTAGTCTCGTCAGACTCGAGGTTCTGTCTGACTATCTTTCTCTCTCTCTCTCTCTCTTCTTCCTTTTCTCTCTAATAAAGATCTCAAGACCTGGGCTACTCGAAAAAGCAAGTCATACTTTTCAGCCTCGAATCTGCGCTCAGCTACAAAGTATAGAGGATAGACCCCATCCCGTATCCCCCTCCTCTCGCGAACTCATCGAAAAAGCAGATAAATAGCTCTAGCTGCGGTAGCCGGATGAGTATATATAATATATATATACACAAGCTCGCCCACCCCGGTCGAAATTGCGCTGGGCGTACATAGTTCTTTATCCTCTTTAGAATGCAATACGAGCGCCGAGGAGGGCCAAGACTCGACTCGCTACTACTTACTGCTGCTGTAGCGCGAGAGAGAGAGAGAGAGGCTCCTGATGGATCGAGAATTCAGGATGTATATAGACTCATTTTTCTTTTTTCTCCTCGCACGCGAGTCGAGAGGGCAGAAAAAAAAGGAAGAGAGCGAGAGCAAAGAGAAAAAAAAAGGATTCGAGATAACCCTCGGCGTATAATAAACCATTATCGATCAATGAGATCGTAATTAGTTGAAAAGTATGGCGATGTCTGACTAGATACTGATTAATCTACTTTCGATCCAAAAGATTACAACGGGATTGAAGCCGTGTCAATGCATCTGATGAAATTGTGTTTTGACTTATACGATTATTTTGACTTTACCACTTGCATATTTACAAATAGATGCGCTCGCCATCTAGCGGTGGAAAGTGGTATTAAACGCATTTAAAGAGATTGAAACAATTAGTCATTTTAAGGTCTTCTAGAAAGCGCCTAATAATTGTAACGTCATTCTAACAGAAAAATCGTAAACAAAAAGCTAATATTAATCGTAATGAATTTAAAAACATTTTTAACGGTCGTTATATTTATTTAATATTTATTTTCCAAGTTATATTTTTTATCGAAACGACTCGCGCACGCGATACGCGCATCCTGAAAGTCGAAACCGCTCCAGGACTTGTGCATCTTTTTTTTCACCAAGTCAGCCGTGTCGTCGTCGTGCTACAAGCAAACGACGCATCATAAAGAGCGCTGGTGTAAAATATTAGACGGCTTAGAAAAAAAAAAAAAATAAGAAGAAAAGGAGACGACAAAAGAAGGACGCGGTGAGAATGAAGTGCGGCGCGGTGGTGGCCCGAAAGAAAGGAAAACTGATTCGTGCATCCAACGGCCCGCCGTTCTCCTCTTCACACGATCATATTTCAGAAGGGCGTCAGTAGCAAGTTCATCGCTTATATAGATATATACGCATTAAACATGCATGCTTATATAAAATACGGCGAGGTTCGATGTGATTTATGCCTCGAAATACAGCTGCTGCTCCGATTTAAGTGAAAATTCCGCCCCTCGCTGCTTACATTTTTACATAAATACCACGTTCTCAAAAGCATCACGTGGAAAGCTCGATACAGGTGGAAGTATACGAAATATCGAGCAGTGGGACGGGATCGGTGATTAAGACGAAAAATAAAGCGAAAAGTCTATCTATCGAAAAAAATAAAGCCCTACTCCTCCTCGCGGGCCCGCAGCTCGTTACGAGCCCTTCGAGCGTCGCGTGTGAAGTAGATCGTGTATAATGTCTCGTCGCGATGTTGATTTTTAAAAACTTTTGGTACAGGCAAGAAGAAGAAGAAAAAAAAAATGTAAAAACCCAACGGCGTTTGGGTTAATAATCCACCCAACTACGAGTCAAAAGCGTCTCTCTCTCTTGAGCCGCACTACGCTCCGGTAGTCAAGCCTCGGGCACCGCAGGCGCGGTTTTTTCTCTCATTCTCTCTCTCCTATATATAAACATACCCTTTTTTTTCACGCTTTACTCGTATAAGGAAGCACGTAAAAAAAATAACTCATCGCAAATATGTCTTGATGTAAAAGTGAAAACAGAGGGCTTATTAGAATACGTAACACTTCTTAAAGCGAGCGTGAATTTTATAATCATTTACTAAAAATAATATCTTTCACGAAGAGGATCAGTTTTATGAGATACTCGAAGAGGAATATTTTCATTTTATTTCATAATATTATAACATTTTTAGCATTTTGTGTTACAATGAATTCATGTAGATTGTATGACTTAGCCTTTTTACAAATATCAGATCATACACACCGAATTATAATTGTAGCTAATAGTTTATTTCTTAACTCACGTGCTAAATTAGAATTACAAATTAATTAATGGATTATGAAATCAGATATTTTCATATGACAAATTGATGGGCTAAATAGTGTAAAAAAAGTTTTAAGAAATTCTGATAGATTTGTGATTAGTTGCGTTTCAATGTCATTCATCAATAAATTATAATTTTTCTGGTAAATTGTCAACACTGTAGCTCAGTAAGTTTGGATATCAATATTTACTGTGCTATTTAGATCAATAAAATTTAGATCGATTTAAAGTGAACAATATATTACATTTTTAAAAAAATTAATTTCTAAACTTATACCTTGTTTGCAGAATAACGAGATACCGTAAAAATTGAAGGAACTCGAGATATCATTGTCAATGAACATTTTTAGATTAGATTCAAGATGACTCTTTCGTTTGAATATGTATACCTTATGTTTGCATTAATATAATTTATTATATACTTAAGCATTACGATTGTGCGACGATTTACGGTGTTTATGAAGATTGTCGCGATGTAAAAATACCTTTCCGCAAACATCGCATGTATGAGTGATATCATTATGTACCGAGTTGGTATGCTTTTTAAGACTATCCTTATAATTAAACGTCTTTCCACGTGTATCACATATTTAGATGATACCTTAGTGCGATGATCGTATGTGACTATCGAGACTACCCTTTTGATTATATGTCTTTCCGTAGGTATCACATGGGTGGGTGATACCTTCATGCGATGATCGTACGTGCCTTCTGACATTACTCTTATCTGAGAATTTCTTTCCACAAATACTGCAAGGATGGGTGATTTTATTATGTACTGCATCCATATGGGTTCGGAGATTTTTTTTATGTGAAAATTTTTTTCCGCATGCATCGCAGGTGTAGGTGATACCTTGGTGCAATGATTTTACGTGCCTTTTAAGATCAGCTTTTCGAGTAAACGTCGTACCGCATGTATCACACGTGTGGGTGATACCTTGGTGCACTGAATCGATATGCCTTGTGATATATCTCTTATCTGAGAATTTCTTTCCACATATACTGCAAGGATGGGTGATTTTATTATGTACTGCATCCATATGAATTCGGAGAGTGTTTTTTTGTGAAAATTTCTTTCCGCATGCATCGCAGTTGTAGGTGATACCTTGGTGCGATGATTGTACGTGCCTTCTGACATTACTCTTATCTGAGAATTTCTTTCCACAAATACTGCAAGGATGGGTGATTTTATTATGTACTGCATCCATATGGGTTCGGAGATTTTTTTTATGTGAAAATTTCTTTCCGCATGCATCGCAGGTGTAGGTGATACCTTGGTGCAATGATTTTACGTGACTTTTAAGATCAGCTTTTCGAGTAAACGTCGTACCGCATGTATCACACGTGTGGGTGATACCTTGGTGCACCGAATCGATATGCCTTGTGATATATCTCTTATCTGAGAATTTCTTTCCACATATACTGCAAGGATGGGTGATTTTATTATGTACTGCATCCATATGAATTCGGAGAGTGTTTTTTTGTGAAAATTTCTTTCCGCATGCATCGCAGTTGTAGGTGATACCTTGGTGCAATGATTTTACGTGCCTTTCAAGAGCAGCTTTTAGAGTAAACGTCGTGCCGCATGTATCACACGTGTGGGTGATACCTTGGTGCGATGATCGTACGTGCCTATTGAGATGACACTTTTGATTGTATGTCTTTCCGCATGTATCACATGTGTGGGTGATACCTTGGTGCGATGATTGTATGTGCCTATTGAGAGCACTCTTATGATTGTATGTCTTTCCGCATGTATCACATGTGTGAGTGATACCTTGGTGCGATGATCGTAGGTGACGATTCAGATAACTTCTTGGAGTACATGTTTTTTTACGTTCATTGCTGAGTTCATAATTTAAATTCAATTCCTTTTTTACTTCGTCCACAGCTTCTGTTTTAATTTTCTTTTGAGTTTGATAATAATTGCTATAATTCATATCTTGCAACTGACTTGAATCGTCGTCTTCGATTTTCTTAACTACTAATAAATTCATGCCGGGCTTTACGTCTTGGCATTCGAGTTCTATTGCCAAGTCATTGTCCGCGAATACGTAATTTTCATGATTTTCGTGAGTCATACGAGCCTGTAACGAAGTTAAACTTGAATGAAAATTTTCGTACGATAAAATTTTGTTAAACGAGTCGTAAATAATTATCAATTCTTACTGAATTTTCTCGCGAAAATCTTGGAAACTGACTATTTTGGGTATCGAGTATCTTGTCAATGATATTACAATTATTTTCAATGAGCGATACATCTATAGGTTCATCTTTAACCCTGAAATAATTTTGATAAGATGGATCGTTAGCATATTTTATTTCTCGCAATGCTTCAAAAATTACCTGACCGCACAGTTGAATATAGGACTGGTATCCATCTTGCTAGCTTGTGATCTCACGAACGATCGATCTCACTATGATTCGAACAAACTAACTTGTATTCAATTTGACAATATTTACTAATTACGACACGAAAATTTGGACGAATTAATTTGTAAACATAGCACAATCAAGTAGTTACATTAGTTTCTGCCTAACGAACAATGAATATTTTTATACAAACGATATTATATCGCGGAGAAATTCGTAATTAAAAAAGCTAATAATTTGCATCAGCGTATGCAAAGCCTCCATACAAGTAGCCTGGAAAATCGATGAATGATGAATGAGCCCGCTACTCTTTTTTTTCTACCCCCCTACTGTTTATATCGTCTAAAGGATTATAATGCATCATCAAGGCATCGCGCGCTGTTTACCCGAGCGTCGAGAGAGTCGAGCGAGACGAGTGCCCGCGGGAGCGCATTCCCTTTTTGCTATACATACCGAGCCGCATGCCGCCAGAGTATTCCATCCTCGCGACTACGACGACGACGACAGCTTCGCGCTCGCGTGCAGACACAAAGGCGTGTCTCGGGCTCACAAAAGATTTTTCGGCGGAACGGCTGCTGCCTGATCCGCGTGTGCAGCGGCGAACGACTTCAAAGCGATATGCTTTATTATACACACGCGTATTAATAATGCCGAAAAAAGAAGTCGCGATGTGATGTATGATCCGTGCAAAAAAAAGAGCTAATAATGTAGAAAAACACACGCGCGCAAATAATCAGCAACTCTGCTGCTGCAGCAGCGAGAGAGAGCATGTAATTTTTCACTGACACTTACACATCTTTCGCGCAGTGTACACATTATATATATAACGGGTTAAGTGTGTCTGGGCTTTTTCTCTCTCTCTCTAGTTTTCTTTCCTCCTCGCGTCTTTTTCGAGTGGAGGGCGCCTAGGCCGCCCGAGCCGAGTGAGGATTTTAACGCTTTATACCCTCGACTCTCGCTTGGCAATCTAGCTAGATGTTGTTCTATTTTTCAATGGGGCGCATGTATATACCCCGCAACACTTCTATACGCTTGTTTTCATTCGGCATATATATTTCAAAGGCAGGACGCTTGGGGTAACGTGAAAACTGGCCATTTTTGAGTTTTTAGCTGCGTTATAAAATGCAACGGAAAATTTCGAATTAATTCAGTGATCAACTCGGCGGTAGCTTACTATTTTAATCGATTAATGCTTGATTAATCTTGAGAAAAGAAATAGTACGGTGTCTTCATTTGACACTATGAAGCCACATCATAAAGTACCAGACTTATTCGGAACACGTTGAGAATGGTTTTTTTGATGAGTGCACACCATTGTGTCCTAAGAAAAATAGTACTTAAAAAGCTTCAAAACAAGAATTCTGCTTGTACCAGAGAACACAATACTCAAAGCAAGAACGGCATAAACCAAAGGTTGACATAAAGAACTAAAGTCTAGATCTTGCTTCATCGCTTTGATGTTTGGAAAAAAAGAAGAAAAATTATTCGAAACGAGAAATTTCTTACAGGATAATAATGCAATTTTTTAAGTCCGTAATATAATTATTCACTTTCCTTCGCGAAAAAGTCGTACACGATTTATCATCGCTCGAAAACACGTAAACACATAATACAAAACCGCGTTGAAAAAAGTTCTGATCCATTAATTTCGATTTAATCATCGTGTAAAATTAAAACGTGATTACGGGCTACTACTCGTAACGCGATTTTCGATAGTAATTTTCGGTGTTATGAATTCGCCCGCTGCGTGACGTTGATTTAGTGCAGAAATAAAAGCTTTGACTCTTCATCGAGATTCAGAGCTCGCGTAGTTCTGCTGCGGGATTTATTACGTAAGGCAGTTCATCAATTTCAATTACGTATACACATGTATATACGGGCGAGTCTCCAGGAACGTGGCCGACTTGCGGTTGCGATGCCCAACACATCGGTACGTATGCCATCTTTAAGTATGACTTATTTTGAAAGTTTTCATCGATTTAGAAACCGATCGCTCTTCTATTTCCAAAGTTATGGTACATTCATCGTCGACAAAAAGCGGACATTTTCATATTTTCAAGGCAATTATCCGAAAAAGTAAAAAATTTAAATGCAGCAATAAAGTAATCAAATTGAAAAATTGAGTGGGCTTTATGCATAAATATACCTTTTCACTACAACACAAAATTTATACTCGTCGTAATTGAAGCACTCGTTTTCATTTCATACAATAATTAAATTGAAAAGTTATTATAAAAACAATTGAAAATTCGTTTGAATTTGATAGCGCAGCTTATTTTTCAACTCTCACGACGTACTCAACGAAGTGTGAATTATCAACCTTTTTTTTTCAATTAATTCAAAGCATCGACGTTCTAGAGATTTGCCCATATACATTACGCGCATATTATATATATAGAACCGCGTGTACACCACGCAGAAATGTCGACGCGGGGGAGTAGATTTCGTAATGAGGCTTGTCATAACGAGCGTTATATCGGCCGAGCACGACCTGTGTTTTTGTCTTTCGTTTCGCTTCTTTATACGTATATATATCGGCAGAGTAGTGAGAGAGAGAAAGAGAGCTCCCAAGTCATTAACACTAAGAAACTACCTGTAAATAAAAGACCAAATAATCAGTGCCTCGAGGCTATATAAGGGTCAGAAAACAAGAAGCCTCATCATTTTCTATCGAGAAAAGCTCGAACTTTCAATGAAAGAACAAATGGCATCGTTCCTTGCCTGCCTGCCTGCCTGCCTGCCTCGAAAGGGAATGTGCTGCACCTTGAAAAGTGAGAGAGAGAGAGAGAGAGGCAGGCGCGCGCGCGCCAGTCCAGACTTACAGCGTTGAAGGAGTTAATTAACGCGAAAGAAAGTTCTATACGCGATCGAGATAAAAACAAAAGTTTTTTTTTTCCCTCTTCCCTCGTTTTTGAGCTTTTTCGAGCTTGCGAGGCATTTTGTGTTTTGTAGCCGACCGTAGTAGTAGTCGTCGTCGTCGTCCACGCTGTTATTTTCGTGTACAACAAACGCGCGGGATGTGTTCGCAAATATATAATGACTGAGGGGGATGAAAAAAAAAAAAGTACACTGCGCTGTCCACATCGCAGCCGAATGATAACGGCTTGGGATGGCAAAAAAAAGAAGAAGAAGAAGAGGACGAAAGAAAAGAGAGAGAGAGAGAAAAATACTTACGAGAAAGTTAAGGAATACTCTCAAAAGTCTCTCGCAACTCAGCCGGTCTCTCGACACCACAACAGCTTCTTTCCACTGTATACTGCTATGTTTTTCAAGAATATAGATACCTCCTCTCTTCGACGAGTTTTGAAGATTTCCCATCGACTTTTTACTTTTTGTACGTGTTGTATAGGTAGAGGCTATATAACTATGGTTATTATCCACCTCTTGACAAATGACGTATTTCGATTTTTTTTTACTCCTACGCCGTCGAAGATCATTTTTTTTTAAGGGTATTCTTCAAAAAAATTTTTCAAAACGCTTCTAATTGCTCTCTGTTTTTGTCTCCATTTATGCACGGTTGTGAATTATTGTACAAAGGTCCGTGACTCTATGAGATAATATAGAGATTAAAAAGGTTTCCAACGACCCGATGAACTTTGAGCTTCTTTCTCTTTCTGGCCTTAAAGTCTTTGATGACAAGAGACGGAATGAGAAAGAGAGAGAGAGAGAGGAGAAAGCTGCATAGGCCAGCGAGACACTTCTGCCACTTATATGAAATGAAAAAAAAAGGAGTAAACTGCATCAAGGACTTGTACTCGTAGCGCAGCAAGAGTGGAAAATTCTGAACTTTGTAGTTTGACACAGCTATACACATTTTTAAAATGAACCTTGTTTCCCGAGGAAAGAAAAGAGGCTTTCGGCTTCTTTATTACAGTGCATGTGCGCAGTCTTTTGTGAAACCCTCTGGAGAGCCAATGCGATGTGATGCGATTGAATTCTTCATTTCGTTCACGTATCTAATTATGAAAAGCGCCAATTTGTAGGTATTTTTTTTTTGGGAGATTGTTGATGAAAATTTTAAATTTTCATTACTGACAAACATTCAATTTTCAATTTCATTTCAACTCTCTGATGATAAACAAAAATTTACCATTTAAAATTTTTTAAATTGCATAACCATAAATTGGCGACTTTTCTGTTATTAATTTATTAGGAATATTAAGTTGGTTTTAAATTATTTGATAATGACTATTAAATTATTTCCATAAAAAAATTAGACCAGTTTTCAATTTCTTTGAATAGGATAAGACTAGACATTTATGTGCGCGCTACGCGCGCATGGAACTCTTATGAGTATGTAACTTAATATATGAAAGATATTATTAAATACAGAGGGCGTATATAGATGACACTAAAATATTTCTTGTACTTATTACATGAAGTTGGCTCTAAGAGGGTTCAATTCAATCCATAATCGCAATGGCTCTTATATTAATTAGATTACTACTAGTAACCACCACTAGATGGCGAGTAACTTTATTTGGATAATCTGCAAGTGGCAAAGTAAAAATAATAATATAAGTAAAGCAACTATATTCATCATAGGTAGTTTTCGTGACGAAAAATATGGCATAGCCAAGACACTTTGGCAGGTCGATACGTCGATACTCCTAATTTATCGATAACTACACATGCACACTAACGAAATTCGCAAGGAGAGAACACATTCGAATTCGTGTCTGTGGAGAGTCACCTCGGACTCTCTCTCTCACAATCAGGCCTTTGACTAGTCCACATCGCTCACACTGGTAGTGTCTCTGGAGAAGATTTCCAATTCAAGGTGTCGCTTGTCATCCTGCCACCATGCCAACCAACATCGGGTGGACCTGGGACCGTACACAAACACACTAACTATCTCTCGAGCCATATCGGTATTCGCGTAGTAAAATCATTTCTTAGTTAATCGGATTCTTTTGCCATCGACATGAACTCGCGTCCCCGAGATTATAATCGTTGAGTCTGCATGCTCTACATGCAGTGGCGTCCCAAGCACCTTGTACATTGACTTATCTTGAACCAAACAATATATTTAT